TGCACGAGCCTCGGCCGAGGGCACCATCACAGGACCGCTCGACGGCGGCGCGCTCACCCACTAGGGAGCGCGCGCTCCAGCGAGGGGACCCGCAGCGGCATCGCACTTCTTCTCCGGCGTCTGCTACACTGAGGGCTGATAAAGGAGAAAGGGGGAGGAGCTAGGGTTTAGGGCGAGTCCCACCGCAGCGCGTGTGGGGGACTAGGGCACCGTTGCCCAGACCGCTTCGACGGCGGCGCACTCAGCCCAGGACGAGTGCGCGCGGCCGGCGATTGGACCGGCGGCGCCGCCGCTCCGCTGCTCTTTCCTTTTCGTGTGTGGCAAAGAGAGAGAAGGCGGGGGAAGAAATGAAACTAGGGTTTTGGGTGACCGGCGCGGCGGAGGGTTTTTATTCCGCCGAGATCGTTGCCCGACCGTCCGATCACGATGAACGGCTCCGGGCGCTCGGGCTAGATTCGCCTTGAGCAAAGTAGGGAAATCTCGGCCTAGGCCTAGGTTATATGCTCAAAGGCGCTGGGAAGCGGCGCCTTGCAACGATGCAAGGCCGGATTTCACTGCTAGGCGCGACAACAGATGTGCAGTGAGTGTGTTTCGGCCCAAAATGCACAGTAAAGTTTATGAATTGTTTTATCATTTTCAGAAGCGAAATTTTTATTATTTTTGTCTAGTTTAAATTTCTGTCAAAATTTAAACCAACGGGATAATTTTTTCATAGAGTAGAAGAGTACAACAAAATGCTTCTAAAAAGTAGATAAAATATTTTTCATGTTTCCACTGCAAAATTTAATGTTTATTATCTTCTAATTAAATTCGAACCAATCAAAAAATTTAATTTGAAGAGAAGTTATATTTATTCAGTAAATTATGATTATGTTTATCCTCTAATTAAATTAGAATCAACGGAAAAAAATTAAATTAGAGAAGTAGTCCAATTTATTTTAAGTAAAATTATGATATTGTTATTTTCTAACCAACATCGATGATAACAATATTGTAAGTTGATTAATGAGTTTTCCATGTATTGATTCTATTTCTGTCCAACGGTGATATAGAATTAATGTAGAAGAATATTGTATTTATGATATTGCTATTTTTCTGACGAAAGTTGATGATAGCAAAGTTTATGATAGAAATATTATAATTTTTTATTTATGAGTTTGAAGTTTAAATCTCTGATAAATTTTACACCAACGTGGTCAATTTTTCAGAGAGTAGATAAGGACCAAGAAATGCTTCTAAACTAATATAATGTATTTTATTCTCATGTTATCACTGCAATGATGTTGATTATCTTCTAATTAAATTCGACCCAACGGGAGAATTTAATTTTAAAGAGTAGTTATATGTCTTTTAAGTTAATTTATGAGTTTTATACATTAATTCTATTTTCTGCCCACCGGTGATGTAGAATTGATGGAGAAGTATCTTGTAAGTTTTATTTTTTAACCGACGAGATCGTTCGGCTGCATGTCAACGGGCTGCAATGCTAGAGTAGGTGAATGAAAAGGCTTGAGTCAAGCCAGTTCAGGACAGTTTTTTTGTTAGTTTACTCATTTTCTGATTAAATTGGAACCAATGGAAAGATTTAATTAGAAAATGAAGTATAGGTGAATGTTTTAGTCATCATGACTAAATTTTTCGTTACCGTAATTTGTATATAAAGTTATCCCGCATGGGGAGAAGTTTGGCATAGTACTTATGCTAGTCAATTCTGCATGGGGGAGAAGTTTTGTGATGACTCATATATTTTTTATCCCGCATAGCGAGAGAAGTTTGGGTAGCTCTTATGCTATCCTAGTATAGACCATGGCACAATAGAAATGCACCGTCATGGTCAATACTAATCTAAGGACAAGAAAAAGATCTAAACGTGACATGTAAAAGTACAGTTAATAAAAGACCTCGTCGAATTCTTGAAGTGGAATGAGGAATGTGTACTCCTATATAAATCAAGAAATAACTTTATTTGCATGGCATAATCATGTGAATAAAGTAAGTCATAAGTGTCTCCTCGTTCACAGTTTTCTGAATAGTTCTCGAAATTATAACAGCATAGTTCATGCCATATTTCGAGGAGAAGAGTTGTGAGATGAATTAAGAGTAAGAATTAAGATCAATTAAGAAACTACTCTTCATTAAGAGTGAGATAAAGATTTTGATGAATGTGACCGTCGGTCATAACAATGATACCCCTAAGCAGAGAAACAGTTAAATTCCTGGATTTTTAAAGTTCTGAGAGGAAGATAGCGTAGTCATCATCAAAGATATTAAAACGGTGCTTAAAGCGCCATATAAGGTTTTAACAGATTGAATCCAAATAAGAAATTAGAAGATACACTATCTTTATAAAAGATGGGACGATCTGGAGGAGAACGGTATGTAGAGACCTATGACTTAAAGAGAAGCAGGACTGCGTGCCCACTTCAGTAATTCAAAACAACGAATTTCTCGATACCTGTTGATGTTGTATGACTTATACAACACCTGTTGTTGGCCCTTCGAAGAAAATGAATAATGTAAACAAGGATCTTATGATACAAGAGCCTGTAGAATCAATTGTCTCTTGGCAATGAAGAGCAACAACAGCCCCATATGAAAGTGCCAGTAGCTGAGGCCTCAAAGAATTAGTAAACCAGTTTTCTGATGACTATAAAGTCTATGTTAGTGAAGAAATTCAAATAAAGGATGATCCCACCTCATTTGAAGAAGCCATGAGAAGCGTTTACTCGTTTAAATGGCAAGAAGCTATGGAAGTTGAAATGAATTCGATGAATACCAACGATGTTGGGGACTTAGAAGAAATTCCTAATGGAGCCAAAATAGTAGGCTGTGAAAGGGTTTACAAGACAAAATATGACTCCAAAGGAAATGTGGAAAGATATAAAGCATAATTTGTAGCAAAAGGCTTTACGTAAAGAGAATGAATAGATTACGATAAGAGTTTTCTCTCCGGACTAATGAAAGGATTCTTTTAGAATCATAATGGTGTTATTGGAATATTATGATTTAGAGTTATATCAGATGGATGTAAAGACGGCATTCCTCAACGGGGATTTGTATGAAAACGTTTACATGGCACAACCCAAAGATTTTATCGTGGAAGAAAAAGAACGTATGGGGGTTAAAACAAGTCTCTAGGCAGTAGTATTTGAAGTTGATGAAACGATAAGAAAGTTTGGGTTTAAAGAAAATGAGAAGGACAATAACATTTATGCGAAGTTCTAGAATGAAAAATTCTTTTTCCACATCCTGTGTATAGATGACATCCTACTCACTAATAGTAATATTAATCTGCCATTAGAGAAGAAGTCTTTGTCCTCAAGTTTCAATATGAAAGATCTTGGTGAAGCCTCATTGGTTCTAGGAATTGAAATTCATCGAGATAGATGAAAAAGGGTATTAGGACTATCGCAAAGGCATACTTAGAAAAGATTCTAAAGAAATAAAATATGCATGCGAGTAAACCTACGCCAGCTCCTATAGTCAAGGGCAATAAATTTGAAAACTTTCAGTGTTCTAGGAATCGATATGAGATCGATCAAATGAACATGGTTCCATATGCTTCAGCCGTTGGAAGCTTAAAAAATGTACAAGTAAGAACTTTCCCTGACGTAGCTTACGTATACGGGATATTTTGGCAGAAGTCCAGTCTAGATATAGATCACTGGAATGAAGTTAAGAATGTCTTGCAATTTTTGCAAAGTATCATAGGCCTCATGCTAAGTAAGAAAAAACAAGTACTCTCAAATAGTTGTGGGTACAAATGTTAAGTTTTGACGAGATGTGTAGTGAAATCCACAGTAGTTGCTAACACTCGCAGTTGGAGTATTATTGTGGAAACGCTCCAATAAAACAATTGTGGTGTCATCAATGATGCATACCACAGTATAGCTTGTCGTGAGGCCTCACGAACAAGCAAAAGTGGTTAAGGGAATATGTACCCGGATATAACAATGGTAGTCAACAACAATAACCATTTTAAGTTAACTCCTAAGACAACAGGTCAAGTGTGCTACCAAACACATTGACATTAAGTTATATGTTATAAAGGAGAAAATTCAGAATCATTTTGAAAGCGTTGAGCATATAAGTACCAAGCAAGTACTCGCGGATCCGCTTACCAAAGGCTAACCACCCAGTGCGTTCAGAGAATACACATTCGACATGGGTTTACAAAAAAGTCTATGATTTCTGGATACTAAGGACCTAGTTGAGAATTTATTTCAAAACATAGAGGTGCATTGTAGTTGTTTAATCTAATGGCAACTGACCGTAACGATAAGACACGCTCTATGCACTGATCAGCGATGGAATGAAAAAAAGATAAAGTAAGTTAAGTTTAAGTCATAAGGTGATATCAAAGAGAAGAATGTTAGATTGATCTCCACCGGTTGACCCAATGGTCAATTGTGCCCTTGATCCGTGCCCTGATCGGAGACGCCCAGCCGTTCTCCTAGCTGATGGGCCCTCGTCGCACAGCGCTATAAAGAGAAAGGTGGGGGCCGAAGCGCAAGATACGAGGTTCACCATAGCCGCCAGCACCCCACCGAGGTTCCTAGCCATAGTCCGATCTAGAAGGGCGCGCTGTAAGCGACGAGAAGTTAACACCGCCTTCACCGTCGCTACTGGTCCGCGCCTACGCTGCTGCTACCGTCGACGACATAGCGGGCGCTTGCACGGCTTCCCTTACTCCAACACGTCGCGGCCACCTTGTTGGCGGCGCCACAGCCGCGACTGCACTCGACGAGATACATTACCAAGTCTGCTTATCTAAGTTAAGAATTTCCCCACCGATCTGCACCTAGAGGTCCTACAAGTCTATCAAATGAAATTCCAATTTGACATGAGTTAGTGTGGAATGCTCTCTGAGGAAAATACATCTTCGCAATATTCTCCTCAGATTGTGGCAAGACAATTATCTTACCAAAAAAATTTGTACAACACGCGACTTGGTCATGGTCACGAGGTTTGTATTGTATGCCCTCCATGTTTTTTTATTGTTACTCTGATTCCTCACCAGTAGCATTTACAAGTCTAGCTAGGTCTTGTACAATTTCAGACATTGGTGGCCTGAACTCTGGCTGCCGCTGCATTATGAAAGATTCAGATCAGATCAGATCAGACATATGATCTCTTGATCCTAAACACTTTGTGAAAATAATCAGATGGAATATGCCGCTTTGATATTGCAGACTACAATGAAAGGACGAAGAAGAAAGCAAATTTGAATTACCTGGATACAGCGGCTGATTATGTCAGCAAAACGTGACAATTCTTTCTCAGAACACTGTCCACGTATAGATGGGTCCACCATCTTGGACAGGGATTCAATGTCATGAAGCTGACAACTGGCCCATCTAACAAGATGTTGCTCATGACGCGGGCGTGAACTGCGTATTTTCACATAAAACGGGTATGTCAACCAGAAAGCCATTTTTAACTTCTTTTGAACTGAACAAAAATTATCTGAAACGACTAGGAAAAGATACTGGTTAAGCTTAGGCCTTTTGCTTTCAGTAACCCCTTACCTATCATATGGTTTACGCCCAGTAAGAAGTTCCAGCATCACTACACCAAAGCTGTAGACATCACCCCTTTCTGAAACGACCCCAGAATCCTGGAACTCAGGTGCTTCGTAGTTCAGTAATGCACGCATCCGACCTGACAGCTGTAATGAATAAACAACAGCTGTGAGTACACTTGAAATTTCTGCCCTTCAGCATAAGAAGATGCATTTTGTCACACCTCAGCAACATGAAACAAACTAAGCCAATCATTTGTGATGAGACTAGGAAAGCATTAGGCATCAACTATGAGCAGACAATCAACATCTTTACGTAAATCAGAATTTAGTCGCGTCCAAGTTCAAACCAAAGGGCTATGTCCTATGTACCATTTTGTAACAAGTTGAGCCAAAAGCTGATCTATGTCAGTCAGGATCTGGTTACAAGGCTGAACTACAAGGAGTTGCTAGAGAAGTGGATATATTATCACCATACTATCATCCATGTTGTTCAGACCTTAGTTGCATATATTACATGATTTTTTGCCATTAACATTCAGTTACTCTGTTCCAGGCCTTTTTTTTTCTCAAACACGCAGGAGAATTGTGTCATTGCATTAATAGAAAGCGGTTTAATTACATGCCAAATCCACAGTGGGGTTAGTCTTTTGATTGCATTCACCGATTTGTGACCTTTTGATTAACATCTACTGCAGCCACAGCCACTAGACCTAGCGCTGGAGGTTCCACAGGGCCTTTGCACCCACCATCGGTAAAGCATATTAGCTTGTTATGAACAACAGAATAGCTAAAGGATTAAAATGTCCTTGCTGAAAAACATTGAGAAGATAGAAATGTTGCAATAGGCAATTGCAGTAGCTAAGTTGATTACAATTTACAACATGGGAAATCCTGGCTTGTCAACACAAACTATCTTACAGTGAACAAGTAACTGTTACGCCTGATAAGTGATAACACTGTTAACACTAACACCTATGGATCGAGAATTCAAGATGATATTCTAATTTTGAGATACTTCAGCCATAGTAATGTGAGCAATTCAAACAGACTGGACATGACGAAAAGATGTAAATAGAACCATGATTGCATTATCCCCTTTTTTAGGTGTTCTAAAAACATGAAACATCTTCATCAATATTATAGCTTACCTGAGTGACTGAACTTGATGGCATCAATTCTGCCAGTCCACATTCAGCAACACACACTGAAAACTTTTTATCAAGGAGCACATTAGCTGGTTCAAAATTCTGGTGCACAATTGGAGGTTCGAAGTTATGATGGAGATACCTGCAGGAAAAATTAATTTGAAAATAAATTGACAGAAAGCTTAACTGCTTTAAAGAACACCATATGTGGATTATTATACTGATAATAGAATAATAATTTCACTTACTCTAAGGCTTTTCCTGAACCAAGAGCAACCTGGAGGCGGGCACTCCATGACAGTGCACTTTCAGTATCCTCTCCATCATGAAGGGCATCATCTAGTGTCATTCTGCTGAAGTGATTATACACGAGTAACCTCTGCCCATATTCAGCACAGTATCCGACTAACTCAAGAATGTTAGGATGTTTGATATCTGAGATACATTCAACCTGTTCTAGGAAGTCATCTACTGATATTCTTCCATTAGCGTTGTCAATCTTCATAACCTCTAATAACTACACAAAATACAATAATACTAGCTTAATATTTGAACTGAATGTTGAGCATAATGACTGCTCTTTCATCAAGACAGGTAATACTTAGTTCGTACCTTGCCATCAGGAAGCTCTGCTAGGTAAACCCTTCCTAATCTACTCTCTCTTATCACATTCTCCTCTCTGAAACTATTTGTATATTGCTGAAGAGATGCAACAGAGAATGGTGTGGCAGAAGTCGGGCTACTTGTCTTTGTTGGAGGACTATGTCGCTTTTCTGGTGGAACAATGGGATTTGCAACAACTCTTTCAATTGGGGGTAATGGCGGTGGAGGAGGGGGTGGTGGTAGAGAAACAGGAAACAGATCTGAATCTGTTCGATCAAAGTTAATTATGTGCTCCTTTTGGTTTTCGGGAGACTTCTTTGGGAGAGCTGTAAACAATAGCACGCAAACTTTCAGACATTTGTAGTTGGTGAATATAACTTAGATGCACTTTGTCACAAAGACTTTATACCTGCCGCGGATGAATTTAGTTCATGGCCCCTCCTATCAAGTGCCTCACCTGGACCTATCAAATAAACCAATTACATGGACACCAAAAATAAACAAAAAGCTATATAATACTGGGATGAAAGGTTTACCTTTTTTAACATCATTGCTTTGTTGCACTGGAGGTGTCTTGATTTGTGGTTCAACCCTATGATGCACCCTTGCCAGCTGACTTCTATTATGATCATATCTTGACTGTCTCTCTTCGTACTTGGATAGACAAAATAATACTAGGAGGACTATGATAATAAACAGCACTACTCCGGCAAGAACAGAGCCAACAATCTTGAGGGTTGATGCATTGTGTTTCCTAGATGATGAAGTGCTGTCTCGGGTAGTTGATCCTTCAGAAGAGTTTGGGGTTGTTTTAGGTGGGGGAGGAGCTCTTGAAGGAGATGGGGGTGATGGTGCTGGGAGCGTTGAATTTGAAGTGGTAGGTGCTGGTATTGGCGTTGGAGCTGGTTTTGGTCCTGCTGGTGTTGGAGTTGGTGTTGGTCCTGTTGAAGGCAGAGATGGGGCTGTGCTGGTGTTGAATGGATTCCCGTCCTTTCTGTGATGATATACTATTAGTCGCTTAACAAGTCATATAGATAACTTATCTAACTAAATAATTATATATTTGTCTAATAGATGAAATAGCATTGCTACAGACAACAGAGTGGAGGTTTAATGAGGCTGATTAAGGTAAACGTGAAAGGAAGAACCGAAGAAGGTATCTCACTTGAAGTTCGGTATGTTAAGTAAACTCGCAGGCACCGGTCCAGAAAAAAGATTATTTTCTATGTTCCTGTTCAAAGTCAGGAAAGTATATTAAAAAATGCAAACAGTTAATGATCAAAGTAATGTTTTCAATATAAGAGGTCAGAGCTATATGTGGTTTTAGTAATTCAGTTCAATTACAAGAGCTGAGCAGCTGTATTGCATGAATGCAGAGCTTGACATGAACTGCTTAACGCTTCCTTAGTGCTGATTAAGTGCTCATTTGCAAGATCATGGTAAATGAAGCATGAGTTGCTTTCTCCAAAGAAGAAAACCCTATCGAGATATCATTACCTCCAAATATTAGTGAGCGGTACATGAGAGAAGTGCAAGTGCAACATACTACGAGAGGGCAGCAAGAGATAGTTTGTTAAATTTGTTAACTCCTTTAGCAACCGTACACAAGCTTGTGGAGTGTTAACCATCAGCCAATCACGATCTGCTAAACTATTGTTCAAGTCAAACATGTAGTGCTAGAGCCAATATGAAATGTTACACTCTTTGGAAATCAGCGATGGAAATTGACACCACATGGTATTGCAATACCATATACATTAGGGAAAACTCGACATATAGGCTAAGTTATGTAACTGAGAAGATAATGATAAACAGCATGCCTTCAATTATCAATACAAATGTAACAGAACAACTATGGGACAAAAGCTATGAGATCGAGGTATTACAAGTCTTTCAGTGGGAGATCCTGCAAGACGTTAAGGGTCCCAGACAGTTGATTATCTTGCATGTGCCTATCATAGAAGAGGTGGAGAAGAAGGAAATAAGTTCGGGAAAACAAAGATAGGAAAATAACATAACAAAGGCCACAAAACAAGAAAACTTACAATGAAGTCAAAGATGCCAAGCTTTTCATTGAAGATGGTAACACGCCAGTCAAGTTGTTCGAAAAAATATCCCTGTAAAGCAAGTGCAGATGGTATGGTCAGTCGATCAAGACACCATATTGGTCCACATCTGCACACATATGTCTTACAAATTTACAAGTCCAATGAGTGAATGTAGGAAACAGGACACATCTTACAAATTTACAAGTCTACTGAGTGAATCAAAAGCGTCTGGTAGGTCTCCATTTAGACTGTTGCCGTTGACTGACCTGGGAAAACAAGGATCACACAGCATGTGGTTTACATACCAAACTAGCATGAATACAATCTTGCAGCGGGGGATTACATGGCTGTTAAGTTTTCGAGTTTTGACAGTGAACTTGGGATGCTTCCAGTAAGTTGATTAGCAGAGAGGAAACTGTAGCAAGAGAAAACATAGATCATTCCATGAAATTAATGGTCTCAAAAGGCTAAAAGGGACTGCAGAAATGATCGATGAACATACAGACTCTGCAATGTAACAGGTAGGTCCTCCGGTATGGTTCCACCAATATTATTGTTGCTAAGCTCTCTATAGATAAAATAAAGTTATTGGTCAGACACTCAACCTGTATATGAAGTGGGCATAAACTCAACCAGTAGAAAATATTCTAATTCAGACTGCAACATACTAGTGTTGATCATGGCACAAGGATATAATGAAAAACCTCAAATAATGAGTAACAAATTTAGTGTGAACATCCTTACATGCTGGTGATGGAAGTGAAGTTTCCTAAACTTCCCAGCTGTCCTCCCAAGTTTGCAGCATTCATGGTTCTAGAAACAGTGAGTTGATAATGGTGAAAAGTAAAACAAATATAATAGATAAAAGGAGATGCAATGAAGAACCTGACATACATTCCAGTTATGGAAGAGCCGGTACACACAACACCCTGCCAGCTCTCACCACAGGGGTCTCCACCATTTCCAGTCCATCCAGGAAGAGGTGGTGATCCCAGTGAAATGTACAGTCCGTTTATGGCAGAGACTACAGATGATAAAAGAATGCATGAAGAAGCAATTAGCGTTGAGTAACCCTTAGAAAAAGAATCCACACTGCCTGCATTGCACAACACCTGACCTGAAAACAGCGTATAAAAGAAGATTTTGCGCTTTCAAAGCATATGTAAGTTCAATAATTCTAGGAACATGATCCCACATCAACACTTAATAATTGACTAATGAACCAACTACAACACTAATCACTATCATTGTCAATTAGACTACCATCCTAGGATCCCAACATGAGTAGGGCCCTCACTACGGGCACTACCTGCAGTACCATCAATGTGACAATTAACACAAGTAGTATGGTTAATAATCCCGGGCTGTTTGTATTGTACTGCTAGCGTAATTAACAAACCATCCTGCTACTAGTACGGGTAACATAATTAGCAAACCATCATTTTCTCCTGCATCTGCATGTTATCAATATCCCATGGATCCATCATGCGAGCAGCCCATCCACGTGTGTCATTGCTGTCATAAGAGATAAGACAGGCGCAGAGGACAGAGGCAGCTTGTTTCGATAACGCCTGAAAAGTCCCTTTCGTTATCCCAGGCGAGAGGGACGGCCCGCGTGGTACAAACCAACAGAATGAAAAACACCAAGCGATCCAAATTACAGCCGCCCCGCACTAGCAGTAGCAAGCAGACACGAGATTGCAGGTTTGATGACAAAACTTGACAGTCGGGCGAGCGAGCTCGCTCGGATGTCGGGTTCGCTCACGGAGTCGAGACGAAGTTGTAGTAATCCGCAAAAGCAGAGGCCCTCATCATTCCTCACTTTGTCACCACACACACACACCACAGCAGCGCCGGCACCGACATAATTTCACCGCACATATCCTTAACTACAGGTGGGCGGGCAGAAGAGAAAGAAAAGTGCGAGAGCAACGCGAACCGCCGCTCCCCAGCGGCACACACAGCAGAACAGCACGTCAGCACCGCACAGAATCAATCCGATCCCCCTGCTTGGGTGCTTCGCTTCGCAGTACAGTACCACCGACAAGACCGGAACAACCCACCCGCGCACGCAAAACCCCAAACCAGCGCACGAGCGAGCGGCGGCGAAGCGGTGGTAGTCCACGGAACCAACTCGCTGCGAGCAGAGCAGAGCAGAGGGGGGGCGGGGAAGCTCGTGGACGAGCGTACCATCAGCAGCGTCGGTGACCGCGCGCACGAGCCTCGGCGCGGCCACCAATGCGACCAGCGCCAGCAGCAGGAGCGGCCCGGCGCCACGGCGGCGCTCCGGAGCCCGCTGCATGGCCTCGCTCCCAACCCAATTCCCAACGGGGTCGATCACACCATTCGAAGTGGCCGCCGCGCCTCGGATCGCAACCGCTCAGACGGCGCGCGGAGGCCGCCGCCGGTCGCCCAGATCCGCCGCGCTTGGAGCAATGGGGGAGGGGAGGAAGGGTGGAGGAGGAGTGGACGGAAGCGACGAGGCGGAGACAGAGGAGATGGCTGGGGTGGTGTGGTATGGGACCGGGGGACAAGCAGCGACGCAACTGGCAAGGCAAGTAGCGCGCGCCTGCCAGCAGGCACCAGCAGGGGAGGAGGGGAGCACGCAACGCAGCAGCGGGCGTAAAGAAGGCTTGCGTTGCCTCGGCGTTGGCACGGGGGTGGGATTTGTTTTGTTTACAGCGTGGGATGGATGGGGATGGCATGATTGGGCGCGTCGGCTCACGCTATGGCGCCTGGCGGGGCCCGGGGTGACGACGCGGGGGGACTCCGGACTCGGGAGGCTTGCTGGCTAGCTGGTCCTCGGCGGCAACAGTGTGCGGCCGGCGTGGACCGCGGGGGGAGCATGTGCGCCCGCCTGCGCGTGGACGACGGACGGATGTCGCGGTCGCGGCCTGCGCTGCGCCTCCCTCCCGCTCGCCCTCGTGGGCATAGCTGTTCTTGCCAGGTTTTGTTTCCTATTCGTCTCGTTTCCTCCTGTCCTGGCCCGCTAGCGGCGGACCGGCCGGCTGCTCGTAGCACGTTTCATCTGGTTTCTGACGAGTGACGACGAGGCACGCAGTTTCACCAACTACCCCGGCCACAAGTTGGAACGTGAGCTGCTTTTATTTAATTACTACTGGCTGGTAGTCGGGAGTCTCTCTTGGGACCGAGAGCCTGTCAGCTGGTCGCATTCTGGCTAATAAACCTAACCGATGCTGGTTTATTATAAAAGAAAAACAGTATTAGCCTGCTAATAAGTTTCGGCTTAAAAAAAAAAAGGGAACAGTCTACGAAATGGCCAGGATCCCTCCAAAACCGGGTGATCTAGACACGCAGTACAACGTCGATTTGACAACCGATGGCGATGGCGAGCCTACGGAAGAGCGAAACCACCTCGGCACTGTGTCTGTGCGTGTGCACTTGACCGGTGACCGCGTCTACTTGACCTGCGCCGTTGACTGACAGTTGCATTAAGAATTATTACATCTACACATAGAATTTGAAGTTTTTATAGAAAAAGGTTATCTACGTTCGTCCTAGCCCGTTTGATTTATAAGTCGTATTTTTTAGTGAACGAACAATATTTTTTTCTCACAACAAATCAGCCAATAATACTTTCAGTCATGGCTTATCAGTCAAGTGAACAGGGCAGTTGATCTTTACCTGCTGCTACCAACAACCTGTTGTCAGATCCCTTCGAGATCCACGTAGAATTCGAAGTTTTTATAATAAACCAAGATCATTTGAACCTCTAGGTTTAATTAATCCAAATTTAGAAACAAAGTAGCTAAACTAAGTGCACGTTCGCCCACTCATTAGCTTTAGCTCTAAAATTTTCTAGAGCAAGCGATGGCCAGCTATAAATATATAACTCTTACAGCTGAGGTCTGCCACCTATTAGTACATTTGCACGACTTCAAAACACACACGGTCGTCTAGGGCACAAAAGTTCTCCATCGATGGCTCCACGTCCGGACGTTGTTGTTGCCGAAGAAATTGCCAAGTAGCATCTGGTGTGGTGACTTCACTAACCAACAATAAATTGATATATGTACTCCTCATCGAGCTCTTGGTCAACCGTAGAACCGTTCTTCCAAGCTAGCCTCATCATGGATGCGAGACTAATGCCATGGAAATTGCAGTGATCGCTACGGTCAACCACATGTTCCTAAATCAAGCGCTAGAAAATGACGAGACGAAACGAGGCCAGGACGACACCGAGAGACCTGCAGCATCTCCTTATCCCTGCATCTGCATGATGAGTTGACTAATCACACGAAGACGTATAATAACCCATACTAAATACAGTGATAGATGTGCTGTGACTGGGTGCTTAATACTAATAATTAATCGAGGCGCATTAATTTGGTGCACGAAGGAAGGACGACGGCTTAAAGCCTTATAAACAAACAACGGTGGATCTCACATCACTCATATACGCGTATGTCACGGACATTCGTCCTGTGAGAATTGAGATCGAAGATTTGGGGATCTGATTAGTGCGGGTAGGAGGAGATATAAACGGGAGTGGTCCACTAGGCCGGGCATGGAGAATCTTTTGTCACAACCCTGACGACTGACGTTCATCCACCACAGTTTCTTGTATTAATTAAGCCCGGTTTGCAACCTGCAGGGCTCAATAACACTGGACTATTCTTAAGGGAGCACACATTACAGTGTACACAATGTTATTTTAATGGTATTATTAGTAGCCTAATAATATAATATAAAGAAAATAGTGAAACGTACGAAACCGTAACACTTATATTAGTCAGAGAGAAGATCATGGCATGGATATATAGACGCAAGAGTAGGCACTCTTCGTGCCCGTGACATTAGAGATTCTTCTTTCCTCTTTGCGGCAAGACCAACCAGGAGTACGGCGTAGCCTTTGCCCTTGAAACATCTCATCCACCAACCTGGCCCTGGTTTAGTTCATCAAAACTCTCAACTTTGACACTATGCAAAAAGAAGATTCCCTATCACATCAAACTTACGGTACATGTACGGAGTACTAAATATTGACGAAATCAAAAAATAATTGTACAGTTTGGTTGTACTTTGCGAGAAGAATGTTTTGAGCCTAATTAGTCAACGATTGAACAATTATTATCAAATAAAAACAAAGCGCTACAGTGCAGCTACAGTGTCGGCGAATTCAGCCAGCGCAGAATCTGGCCGGAACTAAACGCGGCCCTGGCTAAAACATGAGGCTGATGGCACGAAAATCGCCGCAGCTTTATGCTGCACAGAGTTCTCCGCACCTGGCTTCGAAAACAAGCCGCGTATCTCCTCCGTTGCGTCTGGAGAGGTGGCGAGATCTTGTTTCCCTAGCCAGCAAGCCGTAGCACGTAGCACGTCACCGCCTCACCGGCCATCGCTTTGGACTTTTCGCTACTGGTCTCTCCTGTCAAAGTAACCCAACGGATTAAAGAGTATATTTTATATATAGAAAAAACAAAGCAAAAGGGCAGAGAGAGAGAGAGAGAGAGAGGCGCAAAGCATAGCCAAGCCAGCCTTGTGCCCTTGCCTAGTGCCTAGTGGCGCGGCTGCCTGTGAAAGTTCCTGAATCCTCTTTGGATCACAAGAACTTTGGGGCCGGAAGAGCGAGTGGATCACCATCGCATGGCAGGGCATAGCACGTCACCGGCACATCAAAGTGTAAAAAGCTCACTTGGGCTTTGTCATCTGGACTCTTGGATCTTGACTGCTTGTAATCTTAGTCTTTTGAAGATTAGCAGTAGTCACATTGCTCCAGATAAATTGAGAAGAATATTGGCGTTGCCAGGGCCAGGCTCAAGACGAAACAGAAACAATATATACTACAACAGCATAGCCTTTCAGTGCTAAGTAAGTTGTGGTAGGCTATAAACAGAAACAATATATTAAAAAAAAGAAAAGGAAAACAAGAAATCGTATCTCGAAAAGGAAACTCCATCCACATGACCTGGACACCGCGTCCTGTTCGTTTGGGCTTGTTTGGCTGATAAGCCATGACTGAATATTATTGGTTGGTTTGGTGTGAGAAAAAAATACTATTCATTGGTTGATAAGACACGACCAAGCCAACAGGCTCGTGCTTGAACAAGAGAGAGTGCCGGAGCTGGTGCTGGACTGATGTGGTGCTAGTGGGGATGGGCATGATGGGAGGCAGATTAGTGTTGGTAAAAGGCCTTTTTGATAGTACTCCTGAAGAATCGAGGTGGGCATGAGATTACAGCTCCCAACGGGGGACAAAAGTAAGTGGGCTGAGAATCAGCCCGGAACGAAAGTTCCGTCATGGTTTCCCAATTTAGGCCCCAGCCCTACTACCCGAAGGAAAAGGTTCTGCAGTAGCCGAAATGATCATTACGGTGGGGCAATAGTTTTGTTGTTTTCTCGTGTCCGTTCTTCATTGGTTCTGGAACGAGTATCTATCTACTGCCTTCTTCACTTTAGCACTCAACGCCTCGTCAAAGAACGCTTCACGTTCACTGAACTAGCTATTCCATGTCCATCGTTCATGGAGCATCTAATCTCTTTTGTAGATGAACAACAAGACTAAACAAAGAGATAGTGGGAATCAACAGAAAAAGGCAACTATTCTTCCAAACAAATGAATAAATGATTGTAATTGCACGGACAGATTGTTCAAACAGAGTACAGCCCATGAGATGCTTCTGGCGCTATTTTACCTTCAGTTCTAACCCGGCGTCTTCTGAATCTAGCAATAAATGAAGTCATCATTATCTTATCTACCACTAAGCACTCCCCCTAGCCTCCCAGGATTATTCGGTTACAATTACAATCTCTTCAAGCTCTTCTTCCTTGCATCCATCTTCTTCTTATCGACTGGAACTTTGACTGCATGTGGCGCATCCTTCTTGGGCGCGCCAGATGCTCCTACAACAGGATCAGACGTAGCAGCATTCTGATCCAGAGAGTTTTTACCTAATGCTTTGGCCGCAGCAGAGGTAGATATCGCTGCTGACGCCAAAAGTGTGTTCTCACCGAGAACAGTATTGGACTGGCCCACATTTAGAGCTGTGGTTGACTCAGAAATAACTCCACTCTTTGACTTGTTCTTAGGTTTAAGTGCGTGGATGCCAGTGTATAGCCTACATACAGAGAACAGAAATGGTCATCAGGAACTCGTTACAGGTTCAAAAGACGCTTCAGTAAGAGATATGATCTGACACATGTAATTGTAGACAGTGCTTGCACACAAGCCTAACAATGTAATCTTCACCACAAAGGGAAAAAAAGTTGAGGGCTAGTCTAGGCTGACAACATGAAATTGAGGCGAACCTTGCATGCCGTGCGTACTCCTCGTAGTTTTCAAGTAACATCTTTCCAGCTTGTTCATTGAGGGCAGATTCAGGAAATGGTTCAATCAGAAGGCATCTAACTACCTGACAAACGTGTAAAAAAAGCGACCAATAGTAAGTCCGCAGCATGTTGTGGCGAATTGACGATATTTGGACCTCTGAGATAGATCAAACTTGAAAATTGATTACAGACAGGTAACACATTAGCAGTGGAATAAGGACTAAGGGTGAGTGTGCTGTACTTTCAGCTTACCAGCAGAACATGTCTTAATCCAAGACCAGGATTCCAATCCTTCTTCAGTGTATTCACACATATCTCACCACTAGTTGCTATGTTTGGATGGAAAATTTTGGTCAAAAAGAATCCTGCAAGTAAGTAGAAAGCCAAAGACTTGTAGTTAAATGCTTCACTAAAAGGGAAAAAAATCTACTATGGAAGATTCTCAAAGTTTCAAAAGATAGCGACCTTTTGGAGGAGAATGAGGGAAGTCACGGGATAATAATAGTTTCATCCTGAATAATCCATTCTCGTATGGAGTTCCAGCTGCACCATGTTGCGATTTAGATTTTCAAGACATAATTTAAGAAAGTAGTACAAGATAAAAGGAAACTTAGAAATTTCAAAGCAATTCAAGGTCTGTCATAGCCACTGTCATAGGGCAAGCTTCATAATACTTAGCTCTAAACAAACAGTTTGTTAAAAATCTATGGACTGACAAAAGACTAACACTACTTACTAAGCAAGTTCAACAGCATGGGCACCATAAAGATGCGTGCAAAATTAATCATTAAAGTAACAAAATAATGGCAGGTGTAAAACCGATGTATCTTGACAATATCTTACCAGGACCCTCAATATCAGCAAAAATAGTGGTGAAGTCATCATCATTAACACTAACTTTGATTCCTTCTGGAGGCGAGTCATCAAGATTCTTCAATTCTTTAGCCAATTGCCTGATCACATTTGGTGGGAGGTTCTCGTTGGTTGCCTTCAGTGACGTACATATACATATGCCATTGGAATCATTCTCAATCCAGAAAGTAATCCTAAAATGTTAAGTTTTCAGATTCTAACCATGGAAGCAATAGCAGCAGACAGCTTTAAAGCCGCTTCTTCAGCAACTTCACTTATAAATCCTGTAGTACCAAAATAACACCTTTGGCACAAACTGAGCACTGTGAAATTGCAAAATGTATTTATGGTATTAGATACTGTTGGATATATAGAAGAACATCACAAAATCAAGTAAGCATTTATAAAAACTAAGGAAAAAATCAAATATGCATAAGGTGCTTAGAATGGTCTTGTGGAAGACATGTACTAGTGGCTCCAAAGCAGGTGACTGTGTGCAAATTAAACTGTGGCGAGAAGAAAGCAAACATTGCACAAAGGAGCACTCGAATAGTTATTTCAGAACCCTAAAATCGAATTGCAAGTTCGGTTTCCAACTAAAAAAGAATAAAAATAGTTTTCGGCTTTTCGCACATGTTGCTTGCTCTTTGCTGTTGGCCCAACCATCCGCATGCTTGCTGCATCTATCCGAGGATGGTGCACAGCGGACATCAGAGGTACCATGCGACACCAGCACCCCCCTCTCCACTTCTGTGGTAGATTTGGAAGCACCTCAGGCAGCGGGAAGTGGTCTGGTGCGGAGGAGCAGTGGAGCACAGCCTCCTATGCAGTGTGGAGGATAGGTCTCTATCAGCATCGCATGCAAGCTCTATGGGCTCCAGTGATATCTGGATGCAACAACCAATGGAGAAGGAAACAAATGAGACAACGAGAGGAGTTGGAGCGAATCCGGCCAGTTTTGTGCCATTGACCGGATCTAGTCATCTCCACGAGTTTTGTGGAGCCATGGCTGAATTTGTTTGAGAGGGTGAGGGAACCTAAAGGAACAGGCAGAACCCTTATTATAGTCATGTAAAGGTCAGGAAGAGAGGAATTATTTTTAAGTTGTCTGTGGAACCCACACATATCAAAGCAGCCGAAAATCGCCCCCTTCAATTTGAACACACATTAGGGGTGCTCTTAGGAAACAATTAACATCACTAAGCCTGTATTCTTCGTTCCTGCGACACATGGTATATCACTAGCTCTTGTAGAGATATCAGATATAGACACACCCAATGAAAATGATCTCTGATACGAATATCAAGAACCATTGCTGTGTAAGTGGTAACTTTAACGATGGTACTGAATAAAAAATATTGCCATATGAATTATGTATGTAGGTAACTAGGTGTAGACCAGGTAGGCAGGTACCGATGGAAGTGACATAGAAGCAGAAAAAGGAAAGGAGTACTTCAGGCCTTCAGCATTTCAGATCGACCGTATAATTGAGATGGATATGGAACATTCCATGTCCCAAGTAATTGCAACTTTCTTGATATATAAAGGAGCCATTTCCACAGCCTAACTAGTCATTTGCTGGCTATCCAAACATCAAAAGGAATCAATTCCTAATAAATATACCAACTTCTATAAATCATTGTCCCCTCATACACAGAAGGATACACATGACATGCACAACCACACAAGGCACACGTAAGGGCGACAGTAGTAATTCAATGCTGCTAAGAAATTATGCCCGCAATGTCGGCAAACACCAAGAACTGCAATGTATAGCAACTTATAAAATATGAAAGAAGTATTAAATATGTGGATAGCGCAGTTAAGTCAGACCAATTAATTGCCATTCTGGAAGTGAGTCACGGTTGTCCATTACATTGTTGTTCCATGCTACTGCATTTGTGTCAATCTATCAATGGGAGCGTTATCACAAGCTATTCATTGTGGTTAAGTGGTTAACAACACAGAGATAGAAACCAGCAACGCCAACTAAACATATCAGACTACAATAGCTTGATCAATTGTGCAGGGTGTGCTTCATGTTCCTTACATCCAGGATCTGGCACGGTGAACTTTTCACTACAGCAACATAATGGCAGTCCTAAACCACATACCAATCCAACCCCATCTCATAATTCAGAAACAGATGTCTCTGTTCAGAAATGATCTATGTTGGGCAAAGGAAATGCGAGACCAATCAATTGACAAATCAATTGCCCCAGCGCACATGGGCACGAGGTTGGCTGAGATCCCATCTGGGTCCCCTCCTTCCAATCCAACATAAGAAATTGGCTGCTTACCCCCGACGCAGGGCAGGAGCCGTAGGACAGCAAGAGACCGCCCCTTCTTCGTCACCGGCCTACCACCGCCTCCGGCTGTACGGCCGATAGATCGACGTCGCCCCCCGGCTCGTAGGTACGCAGGCAGGGATCGATCCCGGAGCGCGGGCTGCCAGAGAGCGAACGAAGAGGGCAATTGAGACTGCTGGTAGTGGAGAAGTCTCAGGCGGCGGGGAGGGGCTGGCCGCCGCGCGCCGCCCGGCGGTGGTCCGGGTGGACGCCTGGACGAGGGGAGGGGTACGAAACCCTAGGCGCGGGGAGAAGGGGGAGAGGAGAGAGGAGAGAGGAGAGAGGGACGAAGGGGCCAGGAACTTTGAGTCTTTGTTGAGAGTCGAGCTGCCGAATGGGAGCAACGCAATCCGCTATTCCGCTGCGAGGAGAGCGATCCGACCGTTGACGTCGAGTGGTCCCCGCAGATGATGAGCACGGGCTAGAGATGGGCCCACCTGCCGACAGTTTGATAGGCCCCGGAACCGTGGGCCGTGGCTGTGGTAGCCGTTGGTCCTGCTCCTGCCCAGCAGCCCAGGCCTCGGATTCGAAATTCCGGCGGGCAGCGAGGAACCCCTGCTCTCTCCGGCTGGCCTGCCGGATTGTGAAATACTACGTGATAACGTGAAGATTATTTTTTTTTTTTGAGGAAACTGGAGGAGCCGTAGCTTCTACAGAGATTTTTAATAAAAGTAAAAGAACAGGTCCGTAGGTCTGCAAGTTACAACAGGGTTCAAGAAACAAAGAAAGAAATAAAGAAAATAAGGAAGAGAACTGCAATTACAATGCACTCGAGACACCATGATTCAAAGGAGTGAAGAGAGCTTTGCTTTGCCACGAAAAATGAGCAGATTTAATTTCTTTTTGGAAAGTATTCAAACTAGACTGAAAACTTGGTTGCAGCCCTTTGAAGATGAGATCATTCCTAGCGGTCCAAATTGTCCATCCCATAAGGATTATTGAGTTCATGAAGAAAGGAGAGATCATCGTAATTTAAAACTTTCCAAGATGTCTGCTAGGCTCCCTCAAGCTTGCACCGCCAAGTTCAATAGGCTCCAGCAGTCCCTTGCAAAGGGCATCCAAAGAACAAGTGAATCAATGTCTCTTTAATCGATCAACGACATAACATACAATTATAAGAATCTAAAACCATGTGTCTTCTTCTCAAGATGTTTCTTGTACTTAACCGGTCCTTAATGAGCAACCAGAAAAATACTTTATGTTTAGGGCGACGTAAGAAATCCCAGATCCGATTATGCATAGGGTGTACGTGTTGTTCACCTACCAAGATTCTATAAACCATCGAGGAAGAATAGGTGCTTGAGGTAGATCCAATGTGCCAAACATCATTTGGTTTCCTCCACCTCAACAAATGACAAGATCGGGGTTCAAGTCATGTAGTTGATCAAAGCAATCACGACATGGGTAAGTGAAATAGTTGGTGCAGTCTTTGTTGTTAAGAGATAGCCTTGCCTCTCCGATAGGGCTTTGTTTTTGGCAAAAGAATCTTTAATGTAATCCCACCAATTATACTGAAATTAAGTAAGAGAATCATCCACCGAAAGCGCATTTATTGAGCAAACTTAAGCCCGTATAACCCGGTAGTCCGTGAAATCGCAAAGGATTTCAAACCAACTCGTGTCCCAAATGATCGTAATAAGTTTAGCGGTCACCATCACATATTACATAAAAGTTCGCAATCTCGATACATCGAGTTTAAACATAGTTATTACAAACCGGTTCGAATAAAAGTAGCGGAAGTCATTTGTTCAAACCACACACACACTCACGCTGGAGTTTAAATATAGTGCCAAATGAATGATCATCTCCAACAAAAGCATTAGACGAGACGTAAGGAATGACCATGCCCATGGTCCTAAGCATCACCCATCGCAGGATAAAGGCGCTTGATACAATAGCCGTAATACATCCGCCCATCTCGCAACAAGTGGGAATAAAACCCGAGTACGAGAAGGTACTCAAATTTTACCAGACTTCTACCCGACATAACCGAAAATAATTGACACCAAAGATTATGAAGGGCTTTATAGTAGGGTAGTAGCGACTCATTTGCGAGAAAGAAGCATTTTAGCATTTCAAGAACTTTTCAAAAGCATTATTGTCAACTTAATTATTATTAACCTATCGACTAGATTTGCATCTATACTAGAGTAAACATGTGATTAAGCAATTAATGATAACCACTCGATCATTAAACAACTTCCATCTTGTCATATTCACTATAACCGTCCAAGTGTTCCATAAACATTTACTACGATGAAGTCACTCAAGTCAAGTGCTCACTATCCGGAGCGATGGCGATTCGAATCGATTCCTAACCACCGGGTGATTTATTCCTTACACAAATCTCATTCACCCGCTAAAGTGAGATATTGATCACCGAGTCAACTTTCCGGTATCTCGAGTTTGCCAGAACCACATGTACCGGGGGGACGACCGATCGCACTTTGGTCTTATCATCCCGCCCGTGTCCTACCACACCGCTTCGCACAAGTCTTGGCATGCGGGCAATCTACTCGGCCCGAAAATCTCCCACCATCATGGTCGGAAGGTACTTTATCCGCCCGATTTAAATGTAAGGCATGCGTTCAACATGACTCGAGGCCCAACAACGGTCGGTCCTTAATCGACCTGACGGAAACACTACGGTCAAAACTCGCAAGTCTCCGCCTGGTCTCAACTTCATTTAACACGTAGTTATACCATGACTTTATAGCCATCCAAGCGAGATCCGGTAACCACCTATAGCTCGCGGTGACGAAAAATCACCCGGCTTCTACCGGTCTAAGCCAAATAAGCATTGACTCGATCATGGATACCGTGGTAACAAGGATATAGTATAACAAAGGTAAACAAGGTATAATGCAAAGAACGGTTGCAAACAACTCCTGAACGTAATGCATCAATTTAAAGTAAAGCATTTAATGAAATCATTGCAAACCAGGAGAAAGATGCTCGGGGCTTGCCTCTCTCGGAGGAGCTCGGACGGTGATCGGGGCACTCGGAAGTTCTTCAACGTCCTCCTCGTCGGCTTCGGCACTTCCTGCTGCAGCACTCGAATCGCTCTCCTCGGGCTCCTCGGGAATGACGACTAGGTTCTCGGTTTGCGATCCTGTATGATGCAATGCGCGTAAGTGATTATGCAAACGGTGCATCGAAGGAGATGAATGCAATGGATATGTTGAAATGCAAGGTAGTCAACATCATCCAAGAAACTATGCTACAAGCACATGTCATCTACTGCATTCTCTTCTACTACCAATATGTTAAGTTAACATATCTTATGAAATGCTTCAAAGATACACCAAAGCTTTACTAATTTCTTAATCACACTTAAAGCAACACTTGCTTAAACCCTAATTACTAATAGGTTTGAATAGCAACATATATTTCTGATGCTCCTAAAAATCTGAGAAAAATACAGTAGCATAATACTACCCTAAATAGACTACCATAAAAATTTCATGGCATTTGGATAAGTAAACTATCCTACATAAAAATGACAAGCTATAGCATAAAAATGAGCATGAAAGTACTTTGTACTATGAAAAGTGTCAAACAACAGATTGAGTATTTTTCCTATGTTCTTTATAGCATATAATCACTGTACAAAATTTATCATATGCATGTTTTATGCAACTTTGGCTCTTTAGCAAAAATAACAAAAGTCGGCCATTAAAGGCACTTGAACTACACCTCCTAATTTTTCTACAAGACATGCATGGAATATATTTTTCATAGAAAGTAATTCACTCAAGGAAACTAACAAAACTAGAACCATATTTTTCTAAGGTATATTCTATTTACTAGTCATTTTCTCAGAAATCAGCATTTATTTACTTTAAATAAAGCTACACATAAAAGTATCACAAACTTAACATGCAGTAATTTTAACAGATAGATCTAGTCACAAGAAGCATAACAAAATTTGTTTCATACATTTTGGAGCAACATAAATTGAGAAT